TGGCTCTGTTCAAAGACAAACCCTTCAAGGAAAAGTAATATTTTTAAACTACTGTAAGTCATCTTTATTGTAGTCCAACTTGAAAGAGTAAGTAAAAGCTGTCAATTGGCAGCGCCCTTTTTAATTCTGATACCAAACGTACAAACCTGCATACAACACACTCCTTCCTACATCCTGCTGTCAAAGTGAAGAGCTGTCCCTCCTCCATCTGAATGATAGTCTTTTCTGCCCCTGAAACCCCAGCCCTTCCTGCTTTCTCAGGACTCCTGCACTGTCCACAGAGCCTTCTCCCTCCTTCAGTATTTAACTTCTCACCATCACCACCACTACCTCTTAACCTGGATTCTTTCCATTAAACGTAGGCAGTCTCTTGTCACTAAAAACGATGAAATCTCATCTGAGCCTCCTTCACCTCCCACGCTCTGGTCCTGTCAAAACCGGCTTCGTGGCAGAGCCCTCCTTACCTCTTGGGTCCATTTCCTCACCTCTCTTCTCACCCACTGCAGCCTGGCTTCCGTCCCCACCACCCCGGAAGGAGCTCCGGCTGAGCTTGCTCGTCAGCTCCCTGGTGCTCCACCCCGAGGGCAGGCTCTTCAGACCTTGTCTGACCTCTGAGCTCGCCAGCCGCTTCGCTGGCCATGCCCGTCTCCTTCCTCCGCTTCCATGGTGCCACGTTTCTAGTTTGCATCCTGCCTCCGTGCCCTGCCCCTCCTCAAACTCTCTGGTAGGTTTGTCTTCCTTCATCTGAGCACTAAAGTATTGGGATTCGGTAAGGCTTCATCCCAGGCCCGCTCCTCTTCTCATACTATGCTCTCTCCATTCCCCTGGCTTCAGAGTATCTATTTTGCAGACTAGCCAGAACCTTCTGTCGCTGGCCTGACCCTCTCCTCTCCACCAAGCTCAGTAGACCCAGCTGCCTCCTGGACACGTCCACTGTGACGCTGCACAATCATTCTGACTCAGCGGCTCTGAACTCAAACTCATGGTCCCCTTCCACCCTTCCCCCCATTCTCAAACGCCCCTGTTCCCTTCCATGTTCCCCACCTTCTCAGCGAATGGCATAACCATCCATCAAGCTGTGTGGACTTAAGAGCTATTCGATATACCTCCTGCTTCCCCAGTGTCCACAGATGCTGTGTCTCCGTGGTCTGTCAACGTGACTCCTAAAGAGCTTGCATGTCCACCTCCATGGCCTAGCTCAGGCACCCATCATCCAGTACCAGGCATGCAGTGGCCTCCAGGGCTCCTGCTCAGACTGCCTCTTGCATCTCCCAGCCCATCCTCTGTACAACAAACAGTGTCATCTGTTGTAAATCTGAAATGTTCATTTGTTCATCCCCTCACCCAGCCAGGGCACGGAATGCCACTCTCTGTGCCTTGGTTTCCCACTTTGTACAACAGAAATGCTGGTAGTGCTATGTCAAGGGGCTGACCTGAGGATTAAAGGAATTAGTATGCGTGCTTCTTAGAGCGTGCCTGTACATTTTAGGCATTAAGTCAGCATTAGCTTATTCAGTTACTCCTATTGTTTGCAGAGAGAGAAACATAGAGTTGAATGCGTCTGTTACCTTGTCCAGGTGGATTCAGGGCGGAGCCAGGAGTAGAACCCTGGTCCCTAACTCCTGAGCTGTTTAGCACTTTGTCATTAAGCCACAATATCATTCTCCTACCAAATCTCATTTTCAAAGTCAAAACAACTAATTATAGCACATGCCCTTTGGGAGGACTTAGCTGCATTTTATAGCTGTGATTAGCCTGGATATTATTCTCAGACCCTTTCAAGAGAAATGAAACCTAAATAGAGGGGCTCATTTGAAATCATGTGTATTTAACTATAAGGCTGCCTAGTTAATAGCAGAATTTTCTCTGGTTAGAGTTCAGTCGCTCATTGTTTCGTCCCCTCCAAGCATGATACATAAGAAAAGCAAAAACAGAAAGGCCAGCAAAGAACCAGGCCAGGCATCTGGTCGTGGGATCCGTGGGCTGCTTAGCATAAGCCAGTGAGTGAACCTTCTGCAGACACTTCTGGGCATAAGATTCTAAAACACTGACCGCCCACTTTTAAGATGCAAGCTCCATCTTTAACCTGGAAGGGCTTCTTCAAAACATACTATCCCCAAACCCTAGCTTCATGTGAAACCTTGGTTTTCCAAAATGGTCCCACAAAGGTGGCTATGCATCCCTACAAAAGAAACTAGTATTTGGGAGAAAAATAAATGGAAAAGTGAGGGAGAACCTCTAAGAAGCTCATTCTAAATGAACTCAGGAGTTGCATTCCAGACCTATGACACTGACTTGCTCACTTGTGTAATCTTAGCTTCCCTCCTGTAGTTGGAGAATGCTGTTTTAGAAAGGACCGGAAGACTGTTGAGTCCAAATTTAGAACCTTGAGGACTGTGAATTTCCAGATACCCAGCTGACCCTTATCAATTCGGATAAATAATACCATCATGGGATGTTTTAGAAAATGAAGAATAGATGCGAAAATGTTCTTATAAACTTGAGAACACTTTAGGATTACCATTTCCAGCAGTCTCCAAGGTGCTCCCAAACACCTTGAAGACAGATATCCAATCCAAACTTCTTTCTCTGGCATTGAGGCCCACTCCCTATGTGTAGTCTATATGGCAATGATATTGGAGCATCATAGAATCAGCTGTCAGTGAGCACTGGATTTAAAATAGTTAAACTTGGCAACTCCGTGGACTTTACTTTCACTCTGGGTCTCTCTTAGTGTCCATGATGTAAGTGAAAATGTTAGTCGCTCAGTCATGTCTGACTCTTTGCAACCCCATGGACCGTGGCCCGCCAGGCTCCTCTGTCCCTGGAATTCTCCAGGCAAGAATACTGGAGTGGGTTGCCATGCCCTTCTCCAGGGGTTCTTCCCCACCTAGGGATTGAACCCAGGGCTCCTATATTGCAGGTGGATTCTTTACGGTCTGAGCCACCAGGGGAGCCCCCGTGATGTAAACCTCTTGCCAGCTCGAGACGCCGGTTGCTGATGCTTGGGGAGGACTATGACCTCTGCTGCTAGAACAGCGCCGTTTTCTGCCGGAAGAACTCGGAGGGCCTCAAACTCCTTCACACATACCTCATCCCACTGAGGGAAGCAGAAAACTGAATAATTAATTGCAGGGTTGTTAAATAGTTTCCAGGAGTTTCAAAAATACCAACATATCTGATGCTGAAGCCCATTGTGTGAAATTTCCTGGAACTTCATCTGGACGTGTAGTCCTCCTCTTTTTCTTTTTTTTTTTTAATTTTCAGGCAATCAGCATTATAATTCAACATCTGTATATACTGCAGAGCGATCACCACCACAAGTCTAGGGACCATCTGTCACAGTACAGTTGACCCCCTTCAACAATTCTACCCACCCCCAGTCCCCTTCCCCCAGTGACCATTATTCTGATCTCCGTATCTGTTTGTTTTTGGTTTTATTGTGTTTGTTCATTTGTTTGGGAGTCTTTTAGATTCCACATAGGAGTGAAATCGTACAGTATTTGTCTATGTGTGACTTATTTCACTTAGAATAATACCTTCATGTTGTCACGAATGGCCAGGTGTCATGCGTTCTGTGGTTGAATAATATTCCATTGTGTGTATGTACCACATCTTCTTTATCCAGTCATCCATCGGCGGTCACTGACGTTGTTTCCGTATCTTAGCTGTCATAAATAATAGTGCAATGAACACAGGGGTGCAGATATCTTTTTGAGTTAGTGTTTTCATGTTCTTCAGATAAATACCCATGAGTGGAATATCTAGGTCATATGGTAGTTCCATTCTTAACTTTTTGAGGAATCTCCATACCGTTTTGCATGATGGCTGCCCCCGTTTACATTCCCACCAACAGTGGGCCACCATCCCTTTCCCCTACATGGTTGCCAGCATTTGTTTTATGTGGTCTCTTGGATGATGGCCATTCAGACATGTTTGCAGTGATCTCTCATTGTGGTTTTGATTTGCCTTTCCCTGGTAATTCCTGATGTTGAGGGTCTATTCATGTACCTGCTGACCATCCATATATCTTCTTTGAAAAATGTCTGTTCAGCTCCTCTGCTCACTTTTTAATCAGGTGGTTTGGTTTTTTGGGTGGTTGATGTGTATTAGATCTTTATATATTTTGGATTTTAACCCCCTAACGGGTATATGATCTCCAGCTATCTTCTCCCACGCAATAGGCTGCCTTTTTGTTCTGATGATGATTTCCTTGGCTGTGCAGAAGCTTTCTAGGATGGGGTAGTCCCGCTTGTTTTTGCTTTTGTGTCCCTTGCCTTTGGAGTCAGATGCACTAAAGCATCTCTAAGAACAGGTAGTGTCTCCTCTTTGGTGTCCTTCCCAGTCTCTGTCCTACAGGGTACCCACCTGTTGCCCGCCCCCTGCTGTTGCATCATAGCCAGTTCACATCCTGGCTGTGATGCTTCACTTGCTCTGGCTAAATTACATGCCAGCACCAAGTGTCATCCCTGTTCCTCTTCATTTGTCATCCCGTGTCTAATGAGGCTCTGGTGGCGATGGGTGGGGACCAGAAGAGCAGCTATTGTTCTCTGCAGACAGACTTGCTCTCTCCCGACTCCCCGGGGCCTTGAGCCTCTTTGTACTTTGAGTCTGCACAGATATGGCAAGAGGCAGGCTCTAGCCTCAGGGTCAGGGGAGAAAGGCAGAGGCCATGATCTCAAAGTTAGGAGGCCCCAGCGAAAGAATGAGACTTCTGTGATGAGAGTTCATGGGCCTGGAGGCCGGGGGAGCAGGGCAGGGGAGGGGCTGCCGGAGGGAGGAGGGTCAGCTCCACGTGACATCACATCCAGTGGCTTTCCTGGGCTTGAAATTGAGGAACTGAGGAGGCGTTGGTGGTGAGCGTCAGTCTCTGAGAGCGCAGGATGGAACAGGCACCCCAGCCTCTGACTCTGCCTCCCATATCTGCAACGGCTGGGAAGATTAATGACCCAGGGAGGCTATGACATGGTCCAAAAACTTTTCCTGGATTTTTTCCGCAGGCGACTGAGCCAGAGGCCAACTGCAGAGGAGCTGGAGCAGAGGAACATTTTGAAACGTAAGTGACGGAGCCCGTGGCAAACGCTGAGGTTTTACGATCGCTTTGGTTATGGTATAATATCACGGCAAGCCACTGGGCTTCTCCTGTGTGCTTGTGTGGAAAGGATTGAGACCCTCTCTGGTCCTGGAGGCTTCACCCCTGTGTGTTAGACCACCCGAGACAGCCTCCCCGCCGAGAAAGCAGCTTCGAATCCACTTGCTTCATGAGGAGCTCAGGGTCTCCAAGAAAGAACCTGCCCTTGAGTGGGCTGCAGAGTCAGAGGGGCTGGAAAGTTCGAGCAAGATAACTTCTTGTTAAATGAGAGCTGGGGTTGCCTTTAAAGCCAAATTGGCTTAAAAACTGCAAATACGATACTGACGGCTAAAATAGGGCAGATAGCCGTTTGAAAACTAGAACCAGAGGACGTGACTTTCCTGCTGCAGCTGGCTGCTGCTGATAAAATCCCCCCTCCCTCTGAGCATTCAGTTGATAGTCTAAGAAAGCATTTTCCAGTGGAAATCCTTTCTGGCCTCCTCTTGGGCCTCCCACAGCCAGCTGCTGGAGTAGCTGCTGAAGCTCTCTTTCCAGAAAGTCTCACTGTCACTCTTATCTGCGGACAGAAAAAAAATGAACGAGCCTCTTGTTTGGTTTAGGACACAGACATAATTTGAGTATGTAGAGAAAATCCATGTGGTGCTTAAAATATGTGTTTTAAAAATGCTAAAAGAAATCATCTCAGGGACACCAACCAGCATTCCTCAATTTAGGGGGAGATATTCAATAATTGAAAAATAAAACCTCTCTGCTTCATCGCAGGATACTCTTATCAACAGTGCCCTCTAGATGGTCAACAGATGTTTCCAGTTTAATTCGGGCCCTTTGTCCCCACACACCCATCCCTTTCTCTCTCCAGAAAAGAGAAATACATGCTATGCAGTTTTACATAGCAAACACACACACACCACAGAGAGAGTCATGTGAGGCCTCTGCATGAGTGACTGGGTATTTCCACCACAACCAAACAACACTGTTCTTGATATTACTTTTCTCGCCTTCCTCATTGTGGTCGTGTGGCTGGCTGTTGCGTTTCCCCTGGGAAGGCTGTGTTCTTGGGGTGGGGCTGTGGCCCAGAGCACCCCCACCTGCGTGCTCTGTACCTGCGCCCACATCCTGCCCCTTGCTCTAGGCTGTGATACCTTCAGCCTTGACCTTCCTCAGTCCTCAGGGCACCTAATCGACTCCCCAGATCTCTGGGAGGTTGTATATATGATTATTCTTCCTAACCCAGGGATGCCTTTCAACAGTATCTCCGAAGTTTATTTGGAGCTGAAACAGATTGAGAACTCTTTCAGATGGCTTCCCTGGTTAGGGAAACCTTTGGCTTCTGTGTCTCCCTTTCTGTCCCAACTTGATACCTGACCCGTTAAAAATTGTCCACATCAGAGGGAAGAACAAACAGGTGACGGTTGATTTCTAACGCAGAAATCCGGTGAGCGTGCTTCCTCCTTCCTCTGCCCCGCCACCCGCTCTTGTGCCTCACACGCATCCGTGGTGTGAGGACTCTGTGCTCCGATGGGTCACACTGTACCTGGGGCCCTAACCTGACTCTTGGCTTGGGAGGAAGCTGAACCCTTCTGGGGACTTGTTAGGTCTCAGAAGATGAGTGCTTCTGTCGGTGGGGGCAGAGGTTTTGGAAAGAGAAGGCAGGGAGTCCCCAGCTCACCTGGCTCCCTAGAGGCACCAGCTCCTGTCTCTCATCTGCCCAGATCCCCGAGAGACGACAGTCGGGCCCTCGAGTTGCTTCTTCTCCCCTCCAGAAAGATGCTGGGGTCATAGAGGTGGTTGCTTGTGTCGAATAAGTCTGTGGGCTCAGGTTCAGGGGAGCAAAGGGCCGCCCAGCTGTTCCCATGGTTCCCTTACGTTCTGTGGCCTCCTCCGACATGTCCTGTTTGAACAGCTGCAAATTGAGGGACCACTTGACCAAGTTCAAACGGGTCATCATTTTGCAGTTTCAAAACTTTTTGGAAAGGAGCTTTATTTTTCCTGCTGATTCTTTGTTTTCTCCCATGTTCTGAAACTTTGTTTTCTGAAATAGGTGTGTTTTTTTCTTCTCTCTCTTTAAAAATCTATTGTGATTGTTAAACAAGAAATGTTTTGTGGCATCAGAAGATACCCTCAAATGGTGGTGTATTCTGAGAATTATCATCTGGGCTTTAAGTCATGGGAGGCAGCATGTCTCTAAGGTTACAGGAGGGTGGGTAGCCTGGGCCAGGGGGGTGCTGGAGCTTTGAGAGCCCCTGCCTTCCCGGCCCTGGGGGTGGTACCTGCTCCACTGGGGGCAGCCAAGGAGACATCAGGCCCATCTGAGCACACTATGAGCTGTCTGGTGGTGGCAGCAGTGATGACCTCGAGGGCTTTTCCTGGTCTCACTTTCTCCACTTGCCTAAAGGGGTTGTGTTGGTACCCACTGCCTGAGAATTCATGACCCTGACTTTGTAAATGGCTTTGAACTAAAGGTCTAGATTCTATTGGTGATAGGTCGGGGCCCCCACCCATCAGAGGGACCTCAGGAACACATGTAGGAGATGAGAGGGCAGGGTGCTGACTCTCATGGCCCAGCAGGGGGCCTGTAGGATGAGGCGGCCCCCAAGTGGAGTCCGAGGCAAGTAACCAGTAATGAGGAGGGCTGGCCCCCAAGCAAAATCGGATTGGGAAGAGGCGGTGCGTTTGAGCAAGAAGAAGAGCTGGACTGTGTGTCTAATGTATTAGCCATGGAGTGTGCAGCCCAGCCCTCAGTTCCCTTGGGCCTTTCTGTCAATTTCCAAGCCAAAGAGCAGGAGCTTAGGCAATCCCTTGGGCCGCTGCTGGCTCTAATACGCTGTGAGTCTGTCCATTTTTAACCCAGTGCCCGCAAGCTGCCTCCTGGGTGCTCACCATCCACTCTAGACCTTTCCATCTGGCCTCCTTCCCATCTGCAAATGCAGCTGTCGGCCCGAGGTGGGGGGCACCCTTCTTCTGGGTCTAACTGCCTGCCTCCCAGTTTTATCTCGGAGAGACTTGTTCATCCAAAGGTGGTAACAGCTGACTAGCTGAATGGGTTTTTAGTTCCGAAGAAATTCACATTTTTCAAAGGAACTCTGGAAGGAGAGGGAGGACCTTTCAATTCAAAGGAAGGTGCTTTCCTGTGGGGTTTGGGACCACAGGGACCCCTAGGGACCTCAGCCAAGGGCGGGATGTGGGCGTTTCTGTGCTGCCCTGTCCACGATCCTGATCCTCACAGGCGGTCAGAGTGGCCACACCGTGTCCCTGGGGGTTGGCGTGCGAGGGCCTGAGTTGTGCTCTGACTCATCCTTGTTCCTTCTGGCGGGAGACGTTGCCACTTGCAGTGTGAGTTGGCTGAGGTTGTGGTTGCTGGCAAGGAGGGGCGGGGGGACCCCACTTTTAGGCACGAGGGGGCCACACTTGTAAAGATCTGGGCTCTACTGAGACCACGGACTGACACGTGCGTCCTGATATGATAAGTCAGTGGAGTTATGGAAACATCATTTACGTCAGTGGTTTCACATGGGCCCTCTTGATGCAGATGGTGCCGAAGTCAAGTCGCTGTGGTGGCCTCTCTCTGAAGGCATCCTCGATTCAGTAGACGAGACACAGGGGCATTGGGCCCAGCCTGATATTCATGGTTTTCCTTGAGTCAGACAGTACTGGGCTGCAATCCGGGCTTCCATCCCAAGGCCTGGGAGGAAAGTGAGGTACCCACATCATCCGGTTACTTAGATGTGCCCACATTCTCTGTCCACCACGTCTCTGCTCCTTTCCCCAGACCCTCTTACCTACACACACCTGATGCTAAGTCACCCCCCATATTGTGCTGAGAATGTTTAAGCTCTAAAGTTTGCTCTAAGACGCTCCTTAAAAGCCGAAATGCAGGCCATTGTACCCCACACTGTGGCCCCCCACATGCTCTGTGGACTTCTTGGAAGATTCAAAGAATTAATGGAATCAGGGCTTGCAAAAGGTGAGCGTTTTGCAGATCCAGCCTCTGCATTTGTCATCAGCTGTACCTCGTGTTGTTTCTGTGGGGGTCTGGCCTGTTCCTTCCAGGCAGGGCACCGGGTGCCCCAGACCACCTCACAATGAGACCCCTTAGGTCACTGTGAGGCCTGAGGCAGAGCTGAGCGAGGCCCAGGTCTTGTCCAGAGAAGGGCACCTCCCCTCCTCCGAGGACGCGCCTATCACTGTGAGCAGCACCCGCTCTCTCAGGATCCACCTCCTTGCCTTGTGGCCCCACCTCCTGATCCAGCATCTCTGCCTGCAGACCCGGAAGGAACCCCATGTGACATGAAGAAAGCAAAGTAAGGTTGACCCACTCACCCCCTGTTTGAAACAGTGCAGGCAGCTTGGAGAGTGTCCCCGTGAGTAGAAGGGTGACTGCGGTCTGGAGGCAGAACTCTCCTTCTGAGACTGTGAGCTGCTGGGCCTAGAACCTGCGGAGGTTCAGAGGGTGCATCCTTGCGAGACACTGCAACCAAAACCTAAAGCTCCTACATTTCTTTCAGCTCGGAATGAACAAGAGGAACAAGAGGAGAAGAGAGAGATCAAGAGGAGGTTAACTCGAAAGGTGAGAGGGTTCTCTGTGCCAGCAGGGCTGGGATAGGAGGCCGCCTGCCCTTTGGGTGTGGGCCTTCCTGCTGCCTGGCCTGTTGGAGGTGACATCAGTGGTTCCATTCCTCAGGTGTCAGGACACGTGGCTCTCTAGACTCTCCAGGGGCCAATGGTCATGCAGCTTCACGACCTTTAGTCCTGTTGGCTGGTAATGTCCTATGTTGCTTGGTTTTGTGACAGTGGCTTACCCCTCCAAGCAACTTGATATCAGGTGTATTATATTTGCAGTTACAGTAAATATTCTGTGGCTAAAAATTCACTGTAATCCCATCTCTCAATTGGAAATTCACTATCAACAGCAGTAGCTCAAAATGTATAAGTTATTTGCTATGACCCTGGAAAGTGCGAGTTTTCCTTGTCTCCCCTGATACTGCTCCTGACTACTACCCAAGAACTATTTATTATGCTCAATCCAATTAATTAGGAAAATGTCAACTATATTGATAAACTAATGAAGATGTTTGAAAAGCACTTAGATAAAATTCAGGAAGATAGAATTTTTATATATTTTTACATAAAAACCCCCAAAATAGATGGCTTGGCAATGCAATGTAGACCCACGCAGATCTAATTTGGGGTGACCTCTTTGATAAGAAGCTCTTTATCTGAGGCTATTCTTGAGGGACATTGAGAGAAAGATACTTAAAGATAGTTAAGAGGCACATCAAAATTAATTTTTAAAGTTTTCTCCATGGACATATAATGCAGAGGAGGAAATTGAGAGATCCTGAAATATTTAAGGTGATTTGTTTCTCAACGCTTTCTCACCCTTAGAGCGTCCCAAACATCTGGTGACAAGGCAAAAGCCACCCCAACTAAAAGGAGTAAGATAAGCAAGGGCCTGAGAGCCTGGTGGGAAACCACAGCAAGAGCTCAGAACCCTCACCCCAGTCCAGGTCTGGTTCTTACATCCTTAATGGACGCAGGGCACCCCGTTTCCTGAGACTGAGCAGTGAAGGAGGCCAGGGCAGATGCATTAGACTGTTCTAAGTGGGTCCTTGAAATGATGACGATATCAAAAGGCGACTGGTAATGACTCCTTATTTCTGATACAGAAAGGTCTAGACATTCAGAAACAAACGTTTAATCAGATTTTTATAACGTTCATGGGAGTTGATTGCTGGTACACCCCCCCGCCCCAATTCTCCTAAACTTGAGGGTTCCATGTTAAAAGCTAGTAATACAGAAAGATTTGGACATGAAATTAATTTTCTCCTTTAAAAAAAGTACATGATCTTGCAGGGGAAAACCTGACTAACTGCCTAATTTGGCAGGAAGGGGTGAGAGGAGAGAGGTTCCTCCCACACTCATCTCCCCTGAGAGGGGTCCCCAAATACCCATAGTTCTTGCAGGTCTTCAAGATAAATGCCTCTTCCTCCTCCCAGTTACCTCTCTCTTCTTCTCCCAGGAAAAGTGCCTTGTAATTTCAGTATCTGCCATCCCCTGGGACTGGCTTGGGGAATTATAAATAATAAGCTTGAGGGAAGGGATAGGCTGTTCTTATAAGGGAGAGACTGAAAGTAGCTTGCACATCTGGCTTCTGTGAACAGAGGTGTGGGGCCTGGCAGCTGCTAGGGAATCTGGACCACCTCCTAGCCCTGGACATGTTCTGTTCCTCAGGAGCCTTTATCACAGCAAGACCAGATGTCAGAGGTGTCGGGTAGGGGTGCTTTCCCGTACCTTCCCTCAGCCCCAGGACTGCCTCCATAGCCTTCTGTCAAGACCTTGTGAGAAAGAGAAAACACAGTAGCGGATGCTGTTGGCCACAGACCAGGCATTCTCTTCAGCCAAACTGAGATGAACCTAAAAATTATGTGCTTCATCTTTCAGTAGATGCCTGTTTCCCACTTCCAAAAAGATTGCTAGCTAGCTTGATGGATGGATGAGAAGGAGGGAGGGAGGCAGGCAGGGAAGAAATTTACCTGGGTCAGGTTGTATTAATAGTGGAATTTGACATGTACCCTTTTGTTGAGCATTTGCAAGTGATACTTTTGCTGCTGTAGATAAAAACAACGCTGCCAACCTCTGCAGAGACTCTTTCCTTAGCATCCAGGCAGGTAACTTGGGTTCACTTTACCTGGAAGGTGAGAGCCAGTCGTGAGCCAAAGGCGCCTCTCCTGAGCCCACATGGCTAGGCTTGTGAGTCCTCGCTCATGACGGAATCCCAGTGGTCGTCAGAGACTCTCCCAGCAGGAAAACCTGGGGCCCTCCTTGCTCACTCCTAGCACCTGGGCCCAGTTCCTCATCCCCATCCGATTCAGGCATGAAAAAGAGAGTCCCTTACCTTCAGAGCCAATCTCAAGATTTCTGTTCACTCCAGACTCTACCATAGACAGGCTATGAGCAAAATCCAGACCATGATTTCCAGAAATTTAAATTAGAAGCCCCATGCTTGCATGGCATGCTGAAAACACAGTACTGTCTGTCTGCCACCCCGGGGTAAACCTCAGTCACACTGAGCTCCAGAACACACCGGGCTTTGAGCAGGAGTCCTTGTCATGACGGCGTCTGCCTGCTCAGATGGTACAGCATCCGCCGGCCAATGCAGCAGACCCGAGTTCCATCCCTAGGTCGCGAGGATCCCCTGGAGGAGGGAATGGCTACCCACTCCAGTATTCTTGCCTGTAGAATCCCATGGTCAGAGGAGTCTGGTAGGCCACAGTCCATGGGTTGCAGAGAATCGGACATGACGGAGCATATTATGGAAAATGTCTGTCTCTGTTATAATGACACTGTGAAGCTCCCTGCACTCATTTCTGAGTCAGGATAGACCCCCATTTTTGCTGACAGCAAACCCTGACCATCAAGCCCAGGAAACCTCTGATTTCCTGCAAGAGGCCATCGCTGACACCAAAATGCTGGGAAACCCAGGACAGAGGGGGAGCTGCACAGTCACACCCAACATACCTGTGATTCCCCAGGTCTCTGCTCCCTTGGCCGAGGGGTAGCAGCAGGCTGCTTGGGTCCTGTCTGGAGCCTGGCGCTTGCTGTCACCATTCTGTTCAGTGCCGGCCAGGCAGTCATATAATTATGTTCTTCCATTGTAGGCCAGTTGGTAGCAAGCTGGAACATTCTGGCATCAGCCTAAGGTGTATTGTAGCTGCGTAAGAGAGAGTCAGAACAGCCAGAGGTGGTTTGGATTTGCTTGCATGTGTTTGTTTTATAGGCCTTTGTGCTAAGATTCTATTTGACTGCATCTCCTATTAATAGAATTAAATATAGTCTAGGGCTTGGAGAAAAATTGCTTTTAAATAACATTGGTTAAACATAAATTGACAGCATCCTAAAGAGAGAGCAACTGTGTTGCTCCAGAAGAAGCAAACCTAGTGACAGAAAGAGATAATAGAAACGTCAGCCTCGAGTTGTGAAAGTACCAAGGGAGGATGCTAGCGGGTGACACGGGAGATGGTGAAATGACTCGCTTGCTTCATTCCTTCACCGCAGACTTCTCTCGAGAGCCAGTCCCGTCTTCCTCAGCATCAATGCGGCCTCACTCTGCCTTTGTGGATGCACCTTTCATCTGAGCCAGTGAGGGGCAGGGTCTCCATGATTGCATAAATCAACATACTCCTAATTCCTGCACACCCCCGAGTCTGCACACACATTTTTAGTGTCTAAAATACAAAGATTACAAACCCATCTTGCAGAGAGCACTAAATTTGACACACAGAGGTCAGTTCATGAATCCAGAATAATACAAACCTGTTGTATAAGGTTTCTGTTCCCCTGATGGGAAACGCAGATAGATGTGGGAAGACCCATCACACCCACGCAGAAAGGCACACTGCAGTGTTGTTCCGCAGGCTCGCTGCTTGTCTGGAGGCGGCTCATGAGACAGTCAGCTCCTTCACAGAGAGCTGGAGAAGTCCCAGGTCCTGGAGTCAGGAGTCCTGGGTCCCCCAGGCCCTGCCCCTCTCTGGTCTGTGATGCGTCAGCTGCGCCTCTCCACCTCATGCTCTCACCTGTAAATTCACGGGTGGACCAAGTGATCTAAAACGTGGCTGGTTGACCACGTCCGTGTCTCTCTGTCCCCTGCAGCTCAGCCAGAGGCCCACAGTGGAGGAGCTTCGGGAACGGAAGATCCTTATCCGCTTCAGTGACTACGTGGAGGTGGCCGACGCTCAGGACTATGACCGCAGGGCCGACAAGCCATGGACCCGCCTCACCGCTGCTGACAAAGTGAGAGGGGTGGGGAGGGCCGCCCGGGCCTCACAGCCGGGCGCTGGGTCTCTAGCCCGCTGCTGGGAGCCTGCATGGAGCCCAGGAGCAGAGCCAGGGTGCCCGGGTGGACACTGGAGGCTGAGGGCCTGGCAGGCAGGCTCCGGGCAAGGGCCGCACTCCTTCCCTTAGTTTGGTTGGGCAATCTGGCCCACCAGCTCTGGAAGGATCCATCCTGAGGTGTCACTGTGCATTCTGAGCTTAGATCCACCGCAGGAAGACCAGGGGCTGACCTTTCAGTATGCACCAGGGACCCAGGATGTGGGCCAGGTGGACGGGCCCTCTTGCTGCCCGGATGAACAGCTCTGGGCAGAACCCCGAATAGAACTGTTTGCATCTTAGATTTGGGGTGAGGGGATTCTTCGTAGGTTCTAAAGGGTCTTCCCTGGTGGCTCAGATGGTAAAGAATCTGTCTGCGATGAAGGAGACCTGGGTTCAATCCCTGAGTCGGGAAGATCTCCTGGAGAAGGGAATGGCTACCCATTCCAGTTTTCTTACCTGGAAAATCCCATGGACAGAGGAGCCTGGTGGGCTACAGTCCACAGTGGTGTAAAGAGTTGGACACAATCGAGTGACTAACACTTCCACTTTCTAAAGGGTATCTCAGGGTGACTGTTTCTCCCAGCGGAAAGAATCCACTTTACGTACCTGTCTGACTTTGTCGAAGAGAAAAACTATGTTTTCAGGAATAAAATAGAAGGTGAGCTGCTGTCTGTCTGCTTCCTCCACACATACACGGGCTTCTCTTTCTTCCAGGCTGCCATTCGGAAGGAGCTCAATGAATTTAAAAGCACTGAAATGGAAGTTCACGAATTGAGTAGACATTTAACAAGGTTAGTGTCAAGAGGTTTTCTTTTCTTCTTTCCCCCTTCAAATTATAATATTTACCCCTAAACTGAACGATCCTCGCTGCTTCTGGAGGACAAGTGCGGTGGTGGGTGTGGTAAGGGGGGAGATAAAAGAAAGATCCACATGGATGGGTCCATAGGTTCCACCATGGTTACTGAAAGTAGAGGGGAGTGTGTCAGAGGTCTGGACTGAATGCGGCCTTCTCAGAGCCCGTAAACTAAAGATCTGCTGAGTTCTGGGCCACGATGGGGTGGGTATTTATGAAAACATAAGCTAAGGAGGAAAGGTCATTGCTGATTACAGCAGAGACCAAACCGGGGCAGGATACCAGATCCACGTGGCACTTCTGTATGGGAGTCACGCCTGTGGTTCCGGGTCCTTTTCCTAGACAGTCCTGTGTGCTGCTGCTTGGCGAAACTGAAGCAGACTGAGATTGGAGGGACTTACACGAGGTCACAGGGCTGGTTAGCAACAGGCCATTGACTCCCTTCTGCCTCTCTCCTTGGCAGAACGTTGGGAGAAACAGTGCCTGACTCAGGGATGGAAGCTTGGGGTCCCCGCCTTGCTGCCGAGTCCTTACCTGGGCTGCGGCCCCCCTGGGGAGCTCCAGACTAAACTTCTTCAAAACCAGGGGTGCACCTGATGGGCCTCAAGTTCTCCAGGGGTCCTGTGGAGATTTAAGCCTCCCTGTGGCTGTCACAAAACAAGGATCGAGGCTGGAGAGCTCAGCTTTGTCAGGCCCGACACCATGGGCAGCTGCTGGGTCTTGACTGAGTTGTTTTGTGTTCCTAGGTTTCACCGACCTTAACAGTCGAATTCCTCGAGTGCTATGCTGTCTTCAAAACATAAATTTATAAGAACCATAAGTGCTGGTATTTATTCACTTCCCCATTATGATGTAAATCTTCTGAACTGCCTTTTTTTTAAAAGAAGAAAAAGAAAAGGAAACACAGTCAGGATTCTGTTTGCAAAAACACGATGGTTACGGCTCTGTGGTCAGAGCTGCTGGCGCCGCCGCGGATAAGGGACCATGCCCCGTCCCGGGGGCACCGAAGACCTGCCCGCACTCGGTGTGGCCCTGGGCCTCAGGGCCAGCAGGTACCGTGTTCGCTGAGGCTCCCCGAGCCTGTGCCGCCAAAGTGTCTGTCACCTGAGTCCAGAGAATGCCGAGCCGGTGGATCTGTCGTGGGACGACTGTGCAGAAGCAGGCAGTCCAGGGGTGGCGCCCGATCAGGAGGCTGCTGAAGGAGTCCACACCACCCACGCAGTGAACTAAGGGGAGAGCCCTTCCCTGGGGGAGCCTGTGGTCGCCGGGCCGTCCTCAGAGTGCGTGCGCTCCAGGTGCAGAGGCGGGCACGAGTGCCTGTCCTGTCCCCTCTGGCTGAGCCGGCTGCCCTCCAGGAAGCTCTGGTGTTGCGGGGGAAGTCCGTCGTTAGACGAGCCTGGAGTCATGGGGGATCTCATGCATGCCAGCAGCCTCTGTCTTGGTGGCATCATGCGTGTGAGCGTACGGTCGCTGTGGAGGGCACCCAGGCTGGGGTGACCAACCGCCTGGCTGATGTTCATTCTCTCTGCGTTGTACCCCAGGGCTGGGGACCGGGTGGCCGGGCCCTTAACGGCCTCCGAGTCGAGGACCAGGCCAGGATCCATTCCTGAAGGGCTGGCTTCCCCCAGCGGTGTCCTCCACAGCAACCCAAGGCCCTTCCAGGCTCGCGTGCCTGGAGGTGTCGGGGCAGAAGCCCCAGCACTGGGGTAGACGCCAGCCCCGCCCGCCAGGAGGTACCTGCTTATCCAGGGAGCATCCCTCCTCTCCGTCTGGAGGCTGGTGAGGGTTACCGAGGTGGGATCTCCGTCCGTCCTTCTCACCTGTGATCACAGGAGAGTGGTGGGGGCAGGGTACGGCAGAGGAGGGACCACTCCGGACCCTGACTGCTCTCCGCAGGGGGCTGCCTGAGCTGCTTCTGATTTCCTTCCCCTCGGCCGCGGCCATGAAGCTCCGCCAGCTCTCCCAGTGATGGCTCGCACCCCACCACACAGGCCCAGGCTTTTGGATGATGCCAGCTTGGCCTTCACAAAAAAAAAAAAAGAGGTAACCAGTCCCCACCCCAAGCTGCGTGGGATCACATTACCCTGGGGCTGCCCCGCCATCACCACGGGTGAGGGTGGGCTCCTCCTCCGCTGGCGCTCACAGCTCCCCAGGGCAGCGTCACCGTGCACCTAGCGGGGAGCTCGGGCAGTGTTCCAGGCGGTGCCCGCCGGCCGGCGCCAAGCTGGTGCACACTTTCCTCGCAGCGCCTGGCGCCCAGCCCTGGTAAAACGCATCACCCCCTTCCTTTCCTCTTTGAATGTTGAATCCCGATAGTTAACCGCCGTGGGTGGAGGTATTGTTCAGGGAAAACGTGGCCAGGATTTTAGCATGGCTGTAAACACTGTCTTCCCGAAACTTACTGACATTTGAATGTGCAGATGGTGTGATGAAGGATGCGGGGCTCTTCTGTGTAACTCCTCTGCGTGGGCAAGTGTTCCCGGCCGAGGTGCCCACCTTGGCTGGGGTCTGAGCCTGGGCTTCTAGTGGCGTGATGGTCAGCCTCCTCCTGGCCCAGGAGCGAGTCCTAAGGGACCTCATGCCACTGCCTGGACACCTACCACACAGGCCAGGGGCTTCTCTGTGGGCCTGGGTTCCAAGCCTTTCAGATTCTTGGGAACATGATGCCTCAAGTTCCTTGCAGCCGCCTGCCAGGGGTCCCAGGTTCTCACCCGAAGTGCCCCATTGTTGCAGCCACTTTGCACATGGAAGAAACTAAACACAGTTTCTGCTTCTCCTGCAGAGTAGCTTTTTCTGGAAGTAACTCCCTGCAAATTGAAGGGTGCCCCTCCCGTGTCACTGCCCCCGAGCTGGGCTCTCCCGAGTCCCCTGGAAGCGGCTCAGCAACCTCTGTAGGCCACAGGGTGGACTCTGCTGTCTTTCCTTTCTTGAGGCGTTTACAGAAATCTATCCAAATTTCCTTTTTGCCACATTGTTAAAACACCTGAAAAAAATGTATTTCTTTCCAAAATGACAATTTGATATGAGGGGGGTGGAAAAAAGGTAGGCTGGCTGGTTTACAGAGCACCTTTTTTCTGAAAAAGCTACAATTGGAGCTTTTTGTCACTTGTATTAGCACAAGAACCACCTGAGATTTCTCAAATCAAAGCGTTTCCCTCTGATCAGTCAAACACTGCCCGAGGTCCCCACCCCATTCAGGACTGAGGAGACTGCCATGGGCCTACCTGCTCCTTGGAAATCGCTGACCTATTCCTCCCCAAAGGCCCTCAAAGCTCTGTAAAACTTTAGCCTTTATGTCAGATTAGAGAAACCAAACGATGTGACGGTGGATGTGATGAAAACCTCCGAGCTTATTTTTCTCCTGCCTATGAACGTGTATTTATACTTGCCGAATGAAAACCGTGATGTGCGCTTCGGTGAATGGAATTTCAGGCTCCCCCTGTGCACAGTCAGTGGGCGAAGGTCACCTTCAACGACTTTTTCTTCCCATTTGTCTCTTGATCCCCCAAATGGTTGCTTTTCTCTGGTTGCTTCCCGGGTGTCTGTACATAGTTTGTCTTTGTACTGGAGCGCGCTCCCGTGTTCTGCTTTAACAGATGATGGCTATCTGAGGAAGACAATGTAAATAGAATACAAATTAAACTGGAGCTCTATGGCCTAGGTTTTGTACAGACAGAAACTGCATGGTATTTAAATTATTGTTTGTCTCTGATGATGTATGCAGTTTCTTTAAAAACAAACCAAAAAAAAAAGTCTTAAAAAAAAAATTTCCTTGACTCCTGTGTGTTTTTATCGACAACCAACAGGAGCCACCAAAAATTCTTAGATCAGTTGGGGGGAGTGGTAGGTCAGCTCATCAGCAGAAGAACAAGTTATGAAGACACAACCACCTGGTGTAGCTGGTATTGCTGGGGAAGGGAAGGACTGCTGCACATACATGAATGGACTTTCTAGGTAAGTTCTAGCATACAAAAGTTTTTTTTCTTCTAAACGTCTCTTAATATCTAAGTGTATTTCCAGTTTTCTGTCCTTTAGTAATCTGGGAATGATATAAATTATTGTCCCCGAGCAAAAGCCCCAGATGACTTTGCTCTTGGGAGTACATACGTCTGTCTCCTTTCTTGAGCAACCTGAGTGTTTATCCTGTAAAAGCCAAGACCTTTTTATCACTTAACCTTTTGGTCCCAATGTGTCTTTCTGGAGGTTTTAGGGGAAGCACAAAGGGCTGCAGGGCTTGCTGACTGCATTTTAGGTGGGGACACTACCAAAGACGCCCTTGGTCTGCTAACAGGAGGGTGGCTTGGGGAAGGCGACCTGGCACGGTGCCGTCCCCCTGTGCCACTGCCTGGGACCACCTGGGTGTCCTTTCCTGGTGCAGATGCTGCCTGTGAGGTCTGGGCAGGGCGTGCTGATGCTGCTGGTCCAGGCATCGCATTTCTGAGCAGCAAGGGCGAGGGAGCCAGCTTCCCTTTGCCTGGGAGCCTCCATCCTCAGTGGGTCAGGGGGCCAGGTACACTGCTCGTTTCTTTGCTGAACATCAGTGGCAAAGCCCTGCCGGAGGTCAGCGTGATCGTGGCCAGTCTGGGCAAGCCCTCACCTGTGTGGGAAGAGGAACGCCAAGGCCCCAACAGACAGCAGTGCTAAGTGGTCGACAGAAAGGACTGCAGGCTGAGAGCTTCTCTGTCATTCTGCTGTCTTCCTCACTCCAGCATTCTCTGACCTTAGCAAGTCAGAACCTGGCTGTAGTTACCTAGGGGGGAGAAAGGCCTAGAATAAGAAAAGCTCCAACTGGCTCTGGCCTGGAGGACAGACGGACAAGGGCCATCATCCCAAGAGAGAGCCCTTTACGAAGCAAAGAAGGTCATGGCTGCACATTCTCAGCAGGTACAGGGCCTGCTGTGTCCACCCTCTGCTCATCGCAGGACAGAAACTGTGGCCCCGCCGTGCCATCTAACTGGACAGTCTTGGCCGAGTCACTTCATTTCTCTGGGCCTCAGTGTCCGCATGTGGGAAGTGGGGACACAGAACCCAGGGGTCTTGCAGTGGCCTTAAGGACATCAGCTATCTAAGGCTCAGGTTACCGGAAGGTTTAGAACGCTTAGTCCTTAGGGGACCAGTGAGCTCTGGGTAAGTCCTGCTGGGGAAGGCTCTTGGGGAACAGCTTGGATGCCCCCCCTGCCACCCCTCCCTGCCTGGAGTTGGACTCCTGGGGGGCTGCGTGGCACTGGGGCCTGTGCTCTCCAGTGTCTTTGTAGGGCTCATCCTAAAGCTGCTCTCAACCATATTACACCGTCCCACCTCCCCCTTCCTCTGGGCCAAGGACCCTGGAGGGGCCTTGGAGCTTTGAGCCGTGATGCTTAAGATACAGTCCGTTGTCCCCTACAGCACCCCAAGTTCAAGGGCACCTCAGTGATGAGGGTACTTACCCCTGATTATTCATCCAAAGGACAAGTGTGACACTAGGAATGCTCCCTGGCTGGCTCCCCAGGCCTCAGTGCTGTCCCAGCTTCAGATGACTCCATATCTATGGTTAAAACCCAGGTCCCCCCTGAGCTCCTGACCCAGGTGTCCAAGTGTCACAAAGCAGCAGTGTGGGTCAAATTGATGCCCTGGGCGCAAGTCCTGGCTCTTCCAGCCCTTACCAGCTGAGCAACTTTGGACAAGTTCCTTAATCTCACTGTGCCTCAGCTTTCTCATCTGTAAAATGGGAATGATGGCACCTATTTTATATGCCTGATAGGATTAAATAAACTGTGTAAAGTGCTCAGCACAGTGTCTGACATAAGAGTTAGGCCTTACTAAATGTTAGCTCTTGAGGACTTGGCCAAATGGTGGAGTAGGAGACCCTGACCACCTCCCACAGGCACACCAAAAATTTCAGCTCTTTACAGAGCCACTGTTGATGAGAAAGATTGGAATCTAGAGGAAAAGATCTACAACTAAAAATATAAAGAAGCGTAAGATGGTTAGGAGGGACAGAGTCTGGTTTAGTCAAGACCCACACCCAGCGGGCCTTCCCAGGTGGTTCAGTGGTAAAGCATCCACCTGCCAAGCAGGAAACGTGGGTTCAGTCCCTGGGTTGGGAAGACCCTCTGGAGAAGGAAATAGCAAACCACACCAGTATTCCTACCTGGGAAATCCCACAGACAGAGGAGCCTGGCGGGCTCCAGAAAAGGTGGATGACTCTGATATAGAAAGTAGAAATGAAACTCACAGTGCTGGAGAAGACTGTCCAGATGTGTCAGGTGTAACTGTCACATGTAATAATCCACAAAATGTCACTGAAATGACAGAATTTGGGGCCAGCCAAAATAAAAATTGCTAGCCACAGCCATCAGTTTCTGCTAACCTGTCAGTAATAAGCTAACATTTCCATGACAGAACTCACAGAAGGGGAGTGGAGGGGGGTGCAGAGAACATATTTGAAGACATAACTAAAAACTTCCCTAACCTGGAAAGGAAACAGGCCTCTAACCTTCAAAAAGCATAAAGAGTTACAAACAGGACCAAACCAAAGAGGATCATGTCAAGACACGTTGTAATTAAAACAGCAAAAATTAAAGAGAAAGAGAATATTAAAAGGAGGGAAAAGTGATGAAAGGGAAAAAAAATCTGTAAGCAAGAATGCTCTACCCAGCAAGGCTTTTATTCAGATTTGATGGAGAGATCAAAAGTTACACAGAAAAGCAAAAGATAAGAGTTCAGCACCACCCTACCAACCTTACAAGAAATGTTAAAGGACTTCTCTAAGCGAAAAAGAAAAAGCCATACCTAAAAACATGAAAATCCAAGAAAGGAAAAACTCACTGGTAAAGGCAGT